ATAGGAATCTATGTTTAAAAACTGGATTCAAAAATCATATTTTAAGTTGCAGTTTTTCAAAGTTTATATTAACAAGTTTTCCAGTCAAAGCAGGAAAAAAGAAAATGACATCTTTCTGGGATATCAAGAAATTTTAGATTTCTAGAAGATATTTAGAGAGCCTTTTTGTAACGTAAGTTCTATCATAAAAGAAAAGATTTAAATATATTTGTTACTCTTATCTCTGTACATTTTTTATTACGTCAATTTTTTTCGGTTAAGCAACTAAAAGAAGTCAATGAGCGATGATAATGATATGATACGGTGATGGTGAAGGTATGCAATCATCTCTACCAACGAAAAAATCGTCAGGTTACTCTAAGTATGAGTTTAAATCAAAAGAAAATATAATTTCCCATATGCCTGATTTTTATATCAAGAGTAACTGAATCTATGATAGTACGCATAATAGTTAAGAAAGGAATGTTGTTCATTTTATTTTCAAAACTTTCTCAGGTGCGAAGAACCGGAAAGATATTTTTCAATTTTTGTAATCTATTCACCAGTGTTTTTAACAGAATTTATTCGCTGAGCGTATACGAACACTCTGTTTTTTTCCGCAAAGCGTACACGTTTCAAATCTAAAAAGGAAAGCATCAATTAGGCGTTAGGAATTAGCAGAGAAAAATAGAAACTAATTAAAAAAGTTTTTCTTATTTTCTCTTAAATATAAAAAATGTTCTATTAGAAACAAAGTGTATACTCTATGCTCTGCTTTTCTCAGGAAAGCGTAAAACAGAGCGTATTTTTAAACTCCGAAGTCTATGTACGTTTTGATATAGTGAGTACGCTTTGCTATTAGAAATACTGCTATCCACGTCGTCAAAAGAAATGACCGATTAATCGACTGATTAATTGGACTTAATTAGTTGTTTCTTTCCAATTTTGACAACATGGGATTGTTTTAAAACTATAATTTGTTTTCTAGAAAAGATCTTTTTTAATGAAAAAAGAAACTGAATTACTCGAAGCAGTAAAATCTTCAAATGGTGGTGCTGTACAACGAATATTATCAAAGTGTCGGTCGGGAAAAACAAGTAAGTAGTTTGTCTTTTCTAGATTTAAGACTATGCTCGGCACAAGTCGTAAATAAACTATTCACTGAGTAACAAAGAAAACATTTGTTCTATTATATCAGATAGATGCAAATTTTCATCGTTTTTATTTAGATTTAGTATCACCAAAGAAGTTGAATCTAAATTTCTGTGATGATAAACTTTGAAAAACTGCAACTTAAAATATGATTTTTGAATCCAGTTTTTAAACATAGATTCCTATCAACAGCAAGGTATTCATGAGTAAAAGAAAAAAATTATTATAGTAGTCTCTATTTCCTTTGTTTGATAGGAACAGTTTTGATTGCACTAGCAAGTGAACAAATAGAAAGCAAGGTCTGATCCTCTAATTATTAATATACTCAACACAGGACCAGAGGCGCATCACGGCCCTGGAATGTTTTTATTTGTAGTTTCCTCTAAGAGAAAAAGTTTTTTTTGATACATAAAAATGTTGGGTTGATTGGCCCACCCTCGCTCCCAAACACATGCTTGGGTGCGACACTGACTCTGACTATGAATAAAAGTAGTACAGTCGCTGATAAACATGGGTAGAGAAGCACAAAGGACAACAATTAAGAGCTTTTCCCCTCAGAAATCGATAGAACAAGAGCGGTATGAAACCAAGGACTTACAGTTAAAAAACAAAGGTCTCTTTCTAACAGTGACGCTAATTTTCATTCATTGATAATGATTATCTATGTCTGCAAGTGATAATTTTACTACTCAGCAAGTTTTGATAGGTGCAATCCAGGGGCAGTTCCTTAAAAAAACTTTCATTGACATTCAAAAACTTTCAACATTCAAAGTCATTGACTTAAGTGAAAAAATAAGTCACACTTAAGTCAAACTTAAGTTTTGACTTAAATGCGTTTCTTAAAAAACTTAAGTCAACCAGAGGTCATGCAATAAAAATCATTCGTATTTTAGACAATTTAGATTATTTTACAGCAATTTTCTGAACAAACTTTCTAAATAATTATGTTCAGTCTGATTATGGTGAGTTGGATCAGAGCTGGAACCGGTTGAGAAAGGGTAAACCGGTCTGAAAGTGTAACCGGACCGGTTGGAATTATAACTCAAACCGGTAAAATACCGGTGAAAACCTTGCGAAGTCTTTTGAAATTCAATTTCCCTCAGGAATGATATAGTTTGCGAGCAGATGCGAAAAAACGTTCACAACCGATCCAGTCGGCCGGTTCCAGCTCTGGGTTGGATGGGTTACTGACTTCAAATAAAGAAGTTATAAAACTTGAACAATTTTCTACTTAAAAGTTTAAGTGGAAACTTAAGTGAAACCGAGAGTTGACTTCAGTTAAGTAGTGTTTGAAAAACACACTTAGTTAAAAGATTTGACTTAAGACGAAGTTTTGCTTAAGTTTTTTTAAGGAACTGACCCCAGAGCTATGCAACTAAGATAAGACTCTTCATCCTCAATGCCAAGACTTTTCAGCAAAAACACTGAATTTAAACCGTTCTGGTATATGCCTTTCAGAAGAGGATTGATAAGCTCTGTGCCCACTATTTTTAAACAATAAGCAAGTTTAATAGGGATAGTTTTGAGTACAAATAGTAGAGCTTTAACAGTAGCGAATAAACTCATTTCAATTTTATTTCGAGCTTTCGAAACCTATGGTTTCATTATAAAGAAATCTAAAACATTGAATCAAAATCAACAAGGCTAACAGATTAAAATGAAATTGAAGTACAAAAAAACAGTAGAGTGAATCATATTTAGTAAGTAAACACCTATACCTTTGTACTAGTGTGTCTAACAGAAAAGATAAATTTTGACTATTGTAATGTCATCATTTTATTTTGACTTTTGCCTATTCTTGTCGATTAAGAGACACACTACCTTCTGAAAAAATAACAAGAGGAACAGATCTAGTTGTGGAATTTAGATTTGGAATATGTGCTAATTATTTGTAATGATTCTTTAATTAATAGATTCTAGGGATTTGTGTCTTTCGAAAGAATTTTAAAATCTTGCTATTTGATTTGATGATTTCGTTCTCTTTCATATTTTCAGACTGCAGACTTAGAGTCACAATGATCATCTAAATTTAGATTATCATTATTTCTCGTCGTGTACATCTTCTTCTTTATCAAATCCATAACGATTTGGTTTTTGTTTGTGTCTTTTTGAACTTCTTAAATCTTGAGTATTTGTCATAGTAGTTAAATTATTATTTATAATAGGAGTATGAGGAATCTGTGTGTTATGTCCATGTTTTTTAAATCGTCTCATCGCTTGTCTTAAAGTCTTTCCAGTATATGAAGATAAGCAAGCATCACATTCCAAATGATAGACTATTTTTAAATTGTAAATATTTTGGAATTTTGTCATACTACCGGGGGCGGTCTTAATGCAGTTAAAATTTCAATATTTGGACGAACTTTTTTCGCTATAAATCGCAGCCTTTTACTAAATATTTAGGTGGCTTCTGCTGTACATGATATACCCACTACAATCAATTCATTCATTTTGTTTTTGGGTATTACTATTACTTTTTTTGGGATCTTAGTTAATGATGTTTTACTTTTATTAGTAGATTTATAATACCGATTTAAAAAGTATTCCTACTTTGATTTTCAATGAATTGGAGATAAGAGGATAATCGTTTGACAATGAAACTTTTTAATAAATTCAAATTCTTGATGCATTAAGGAGTCTGAAGAGCATATTTTGATTGCCCTGTAAGTCATACTACTTATTGCAGATATTTTGTAGTGTACGCCATTCGTCTGTGTTCGCGGTCAAAGTAGCGTGGCTTATTTACTGATATTAGACGAAAAAAGTGAATAAATGGTAACTATAGTAAAATATTTGAGAGCCATTGATTGTGGGTGCGAAAAAATGGCGATCGCTAAAAACCGCGTCTTATTTCTCGAGTCTTACAGCGAACGCGTTACGCGATCCTGCCGCGAATTTTTGAAGAAACTTGCGTCGTGACATGGGATAAGAAAGTGGACTTGGGCATATCTTTATGAAAACCATTTAAAATATTTTTAATTTTTTCAATATCACCGTTTGGTTCAATGAGTACGAAGGTATCATCAACATAATGTCGACACAGTTGTACTCCTGCTTCTCGTTCAAGATGGATCATAAAAATGTCAGCTATTATGGGTGCCAATGGCGAACCATTGACACCATTTATTTGTCAATACAATTTGTTATTAAACAAGAAGTGTGTATCGAAAGTAGCTATTTGCAGTAACTGTTCCATATCATCGTAATCTCGACATTTGTTACACCACTCATTCTTCTTTTTGGCTTAGAAGATTGACAATCATGAATAGGATCTCTTAGGTACAGAATGAAGATCTCTTTTTGATTGATGGATAAATGTATTAGATAATGACCCAATTTTATTGGCAAATTGTAATTGTTTAGCATTTAGATTACACATTATTTCGTTCTCTTCTTTTTCTCCTCTCAATCGAATTGTTCTGTACAATAGCCTAATAATGAGACGAAACAAGCTTCGATGATAGCAATAAATTGTTCTTCATATAATCTGTTAGTTGGTATAACATAGTCCAAACCATTGATTAAGACACCACGTTCATCATTTGTTAAAGTCTTATTTGAAAGATTAAAAGATCAATCTGAATATTAGTGATACCACTGCCTAGAATATACTTTTCCTTCGAAGCACCAATCTTCTTATCCTGTATAGTTTTCCATTGAAACGTTTTGCGTGAAACTCAACGTTCAATTATCGTTTTAGTTCTAATGAAATGAATTTCATTTCGTTCTTGTTGACACAATGTCTTTATGTTATCGATACGTTTTTGTCAATTGACATTTTTTCCATTTAATTTCTTCAACTACCATATCTCTATAACATTTGGCAATTGATTTACTATACACTTTATGTACTTGTGTCACTTGAAATCTTACAAATTTAGGAATAATTCGTTAACGTTTACATGTTTTAGAAAAAACAATAGGTCCAATTTCATTTTATTAAGTTTTAATGTAATGTTAATTTCCCCACAACCAGACGTCCTTCATTGAATTCTCCCCATAATGCTGCCTCACGATATTACAAATAATAGCACATATTCCAAATCTAAATTCCACAACTAGATCTGTTCCTCTTGTTATTTTTTCAGAAGGTAGTGTGTCTCTTAATCGACAAGAACAGGCAAAGGTCAAAATAAAATGATGACATTACAATAGTCAAAATTTATCTTTTCTGTTAGACACACTAGTACAAAGGTATAGGTGTTTACTTTACTAAATATGATTCTGACTGTTTTTGCTG